TATATATATATATATATATATATATATATATATATATATATATATAACTGTTTGTGTTCTGTGCATTGTGTTAACGAAGTCGATTTTTCAATTTCATTCACTCTCTCTTTGACTCTCTTGTTTCTTGCTATCTCTCTCTCCCTTTCTCTCAATATTTATTTCTTTTTGTACTCCTGTATCATTTCGTTGTTGTTGTTTTTTTCTTCGTCTTGCACATCAAATACGTGCTCCCCATTCTCTGATATCGCGCTCCCACCGCCCCCCCTCCCCCCAGTGAAGAAGAATCAAATGCGACGGAAAAAGGGCGAATAGATTCATTTTCTATATTGTTTGTTATTGTTTTTCCCTTCTTCTTCTTCTACGGTGTGTGCTTTCCAATCGACATAAATACATGTCCTGCCCTATATATGTATACGCAATTTTGTGTTCAAATCAATTGATTTGATTTCGTTTTCTTATTATAGTGTCGCCTTCGTCTTTGCCTCACTCTTTCTCTCTGCATCGTTACACGGATTGTTTCGATATCGATGTGTGTGTGTCTATGTACGATGCACAAACGACAAGTAGACTGTGAAGCAAGAACATTGAGGCGAAAAGCCAAGGGACAATCGTACACACACACGCTCACCAGAAATAATCCATATTAAATGGACTTTGAACAGAAGAGAAACGATGACAAATCAAAGTAATATACTGCTTAATTCAGTCCATATATAGAATTTGACGTACGTTTTTTTCCTCTTTTGTCTGATTGTTATACATACACACAAATACACGATCGAACAACAACACATAGAATCATAGAGACAAAAGCAAATAGAATGAGCGATACACACACACGCTGAAAGAAAGAGAAACAGTAAATTCAAGCTCGATATTGCTTTATTACAAACAGCTTTTCGATTTCGATAAAAATAAACCCTCAATACAATCGTTGTGTGTGTTGTGTATGTGCATTTTTTTTTTTACAGTTTGTATGTGTTTGTGCTTTGAAATTATTTTTCGAGGTTTGGATTGCTTTATGTGCGTGCGTTTTGGCTAGTCCCAATTCGATCGAATCTCTAATAACGATGTTTTGTGCTCGTCAAATCAAAAATCCGCACCGTTTTTTCTATGTATTCCGTTCACTTCGAACGACAGAGAGGGATGAAAGCACACATGAAAGCAGAATAAGAGATGATTGATCATTTAATAATTGAATTATGCATCATATGTGGATTGCAGACAAGATAGACTTGCAGTTTTTTTTTCTGTTCATTCCATTGCCTCTCCACTGTCGTCAACACTGAGTGAGAGGTTCTTGTTACTGCTGTTGCTGCTGCTGCCGCCACTGTTGTTTTTTTCTGGTTTGGCTGTTCATCCATTCAGTATATGTTTTATAAATTTCAAGCCTGTGACGTGAACGTATATATAAATATATATACGTATATCGGCTTAACGATGAAACGAAAATGCACGCACAGCACGAGAAAATTTATTAGAATCAGGCTTTCGGATAATATAATGGAAACATCAACAACATCAATACGAAGAAATGAACGCGACTCTCAGTCGGATAGAGACACTCAATAAATTTTTTTTGTGTATATGCGTTGCTGTCGCTTCGCTTTCACAGACTTTTCACTCACTGACATCATGCAAAATCCATTAAAGTTAATCCAAAAATAATGATTTTATATCGAGAGAGGGAGAGAATCCACAGAAATGATCGCGTTACATTTTAATGCGTGTTTGTATGTGTGCATGTGTATTTATGTCGCAAAAGAGATCTCTCACTGTCACTACTACTACTACTATTGCTGCTGCTGTTGCGGCTGCATATACGCTTCTGCAAACGAGGCAGAAAAAAAATTGAATGTTTGTTTGGCTGAAGGGTTTTTTATATTTCATCAACAGAAAACCGTTGTCATGAAAATATGGTTCACTTCATATTCGTTTTGCAACATAATTGCTCTTATTTTTGGTTGCAAATGAATGACAAAACGCAAACAGCAACAGCGACAATAGCAAAAAGTTCAGTTGGGTAGTAACAGCAGCAGCAGCAGCATAATTTGAAGTCGACAAAAAATATACACGAAATTGTTCATATTTTTTGGCATTCAACTTGAATAAGATCGACGATTACTCTGTCAATGCATTTATCAGCTTTTATTGATATTAATTTTTTTCGCATGTGCGTTCGCACACAGAGAATAATCGGTTGGGCACGCGAGCAAAGGAGCAAACGAGAGAGCGAGTGAAAATAGTGACAGTCAATGCCGGTCGTCAACCAGAAGCGGATTTAAATGGCGAAAGCGAGAAAGTCTTTCGCAGAAAAGGGAAAAAAATTAATAACATAAGCTCTAATTAATGTATTTTATTATGATATTTTAAAGCGCATTTTTTGCTGTGAACACAGAGGCGAAAAGTAGATTTTAAAATTTACTGCACTCCGACGTGAGGGTAATTTCCGACCAACCAACGATGTCGACGACGATGGCGACGGCTCTTAAAAAAGACCCATCGTCGAAAATGACGACGACGACGATGACGAGGAGCAAGACGCATTTGACAACAGACAAAAAAAAACAGCACAACATCAGCCAGGCAGCTCGGAGCGCACGAGGAAAGGAAAATGCCAAAAATAGACCATATAAATGGAATGCATAACATAATCCGACACAATGCACGCCGAAAAGCTGGAATCGAAACGGTACAAAACCGAAAAAGCTTTAGCAACATATTTAATATTCGGTGCACGTTTATTCATTTTTGCTTTCCATTGATTCCGTCCATCGTGCCGTTTAGCGCGCGCGGCCATATCAAAAATGATGCACACGAAAAATATATATAAAACAGGAAGAGCAAGAGCAGCCGAACGAGAGTAGGAATGGGTGAGAGAGGAAATTTGCGTGTGGGGGTTCGCGGGATACAACAGAAGCCAAAGTAATCGAGAGAGTGAGAACGAGAGAAAAGGAGGAATTGCCATCCAATCTCGGCAGAACAATTAATATTTATTTTTTTTTACTTCTCCCATTCAGTCATTCACATTCTTTGTGAGTATGTGTGTGTGTGTGTGAGTGTCGTTTTTGAGTTGGTCTCGCAACATACGTTGCACATCGATTTCGAGTTGTTGATCTGATGGAGATGGAAGCCTCTGTGTTCATTTTAATGAGTATTTTCTGAAGCGTTGTTGCCCGCACCGTTTGGTTCATTACCGTTCTGTATGTGTGGAATATATGCTTACTGTGTCTCCCCTTATTCCCGCCAATCTCTCTCGCTCTGTGTGTGTCGTCAGAGAAATTGTTGACGCTTTTGCATTTTTCGATCGTAAATGGAGACTACAGGATTTACAAGATGAGCATGTTTTTGAGTTCGCTGACGCGCTCACGCGAGCATGCCCCATACAAAACATAATGTGTGGGGCAGGGGGAAGCTGAATGAGAGAGAAAAAAACGCGATGAGAATTGCCATTGATGGAAACATTGTCGACGAAATCGGTGCTTATATTTAAAAATTATTATTGACAACTTGTGTCTGTGTCAGCGGGAGAAAGTGAGGAAGAGATAGAGAGTGTGGGTGCGAGTGCGAGTACAACGCAATAGCAGCAACATTGTATATATGTAGCGATCAGGCTGAATGATGTTGAGCCGCTATTGCTGATGAAACCTTTTGTTTTTAATCTTTTCCCATCTACCGTTTGCAATTTTCTATTTTGGTCGCTAAACAAAAGGAATTCGAGCTGGGAATTCGTCGTAAAATCGAAAGCTGATTCTCATTTTAAAAGTCGTTTTTCTCATCTTCAGCTATTTTCGTGTGTATAGTTGAATTGAGGATATTGTTGCTGTTGCTGTTGATGTTATTTTTGTTGAAAGTCGTTTTTTTTTTCGCTTGTATGCTCTTCTCCTCGTTGTCTCAATTCTGTTATTTAAAATGGCATTTTTCATCGTTTTTTTCGCATTTTCGCTAAATGCAAACGAAATAAAATCCAACCATACACAGCACAACGGCAACATCAAGCGAGGCGACAACAACAAAAATGAAAAATATATAATCAAAAAACGGGGCGCTGCAGCGTGTAAGTGTGTAGTCACTACTAGTTTGGTCTATGGCAAATAGAATAAACTGCCAATGCCAAGTGGCAATTGGTGGCAAAGCACGGTGGGAGCAGGGTGGCGAATAGTAGAGAGTGAATGAATGTGGTGAATGAGAATAAAGGGTAAACGAATATAATCGAGATTCATGAGAAGATACGAATATGCAACTATGAATACCATGAATAGAATGAAAATGAAAATGGTTTTATTTTGGACACAGCTAGATTGTGATGGTTGTTAGTTTTGCTTTTGCTGCATCCTTTCATTCCTCTCCATGTATTCTATACTCTTCAATTCGTTATATCATTTTCTGTTGTGGCTATTGTTCCTTTTCATTCGTTCAAATGCTTCTTCTTCTTCTTATTTTTCTTTTAAGCACTACCACCACATTGACAAGTTCTTGTTTTTCGTTTTTCAGTTTTCATTTTCTTTCGTCGATTCTTTTTTCCTTCTTCTTCTTCTTCTTCATCTATTTCATATTCAAGTTTTGTTCATCGTAAATTATGTTTAGCTCTTGTCGCCTGTCTACTTACATAATAGCGTAGCTGCATTTGTGAGTGGTGCACTGGGCTGGGTGGTAGCGGCCGGAATTGATGGTTGAGTCATTGCTGCTAAAGCTGCTAAACTTTGTATGTTCATCGGTGGTAAGAGTCCAGCGGCTGCAGCTGCTGCGGTTGATTCAGCCGATTGTGTATTTAAACCTAAAACATCAATTTAATTAGAATAGTAGACACAACGAATATAAATTAGTGATGTAAAGCGTATTTTATGCATATAGATGTGTACACATTGCTAACATCTTTCTATGAGTGCGCTCTCCGCTCTCTCTCTCTCTCTCTCTCTCTCTCTCTCTCTCTCTCTCTTTCTCTCTTTATCTCACTTTCTCATTTGCGGACATCAAGCCTTAGACGTGCAACATGGCATGGCTTCGACACAGTCAAAAGCTACCGAAATGGCGACCGTATAGTAGAGTGGGTGAGACAGGGAGTGAGCGATAGTGGAAAAGAGCAAGTCGAAGTGACAAACTGAACACGAACATGGACATCAACATTAAACTCATACGTCATTACGTACACTGCACTTGAAACGTGGTGGCATTGTCGACGTATTTGAAACTTTTCGCTCAAAACTGAAATAAATTGCTACTAATTAGAAAACTTGTACCGTTTTCTAGTTTTGCCGTTCCCCAAAAAACCGACGGCAAACGTTTGTCGACTGAGAGAGAAAAACCCAAATAAACTGTCACAAAATTTTTGAATCACTTTATAAGTACATTTTCAAATGAGTTTCCAGTCGTTTCTTGAAATTAGATGAGGCAAAATACACGAAAGGGCATTTAACTTATTAAAATATCCAAAGCGATCTAACTGAATGGCGAGTAGAACGAAGTTTAGCCAGCAACAAGGAGACAGTTAGAGAAGTGTTTGTGTTTGTGTTCGTAGTCGTGTTTGCGTGTGTGTGTGAGAGAGAATGAGAGACAAAGTGAACATTTTCAATTGATTCGTTTGTAATCTACGATCGTCAAGCGAAAAGTTTGCCATTTTTCTCTCTCTAAAATGCAGTTAAAATTTTGCAAACGACGAACGACACACATATATATATATATATATATATATATATATATACATATAGAGGAGAAGATGAGGAGCGAACGAGCAAGAGAAAATGAAAATCGATTATGGGAATTTGGTTACCTTGTAGAATTTGTTGTTGCAAACCAACTGCCTGCAATTGTTGCAATAGATGCAATGAAGCTGGTGATATTGATTCGGTAGCAGCTAGAATTGGGCTGGATTGCTGTGGCGGATTTGGTAGTATTGATGGTGTGGATGGTGCTGTCGTCGAACCAATATTCATATTAGCTGCAGCTAAATTCCATAGATTTGCCTGCATTTGCTGCATCTTCTTTTGTTCCTTTTCCTTTTGTGTATCGGCAAATTTGACGACGATCGGTGCACTGCAACCGTCCATTGTATGCGACTGATGTAAACCCTTCAAATTGTAACGAAATACAGCATGCGAAAATCGTATGGATGAGGACAAAAAAAAACGAGAAACAAGCAAGCAAACAAATTATTATATTAAGCATACTGAAATACATGTAGATAGCGAATAAGAGAAGGGAAAAAAATTCAAATCGAATCCCCGAGTTACAAGTAACAAGTAACAAGAGCAGACCAAATAACAGGCCAAACAAATTCGCTCTATATTTCGCATACACAGACACCCACACACTGAAGAATGAATGTTGCCGGTTGGAGTACGCAAATCAAAAAGACAGGGGATACTAATAATGGATACTTTTTCAATGCATTTATTCTTCATCTCTGGTTGGTTGTTTTTTTCTTTTTCTTTTTCTTGTGCTACTCTCTGTGTATTTTTTCTTCCTCATCTCTTCTGTTGTTCTCATCGTCTGTTTTCTATATTTCGTTTTGCCGTAATTTTCTGCATTTTTTTTTCTCCTCTCCTCAAAATAACTCATATTACAAGCAATATTTTATATATTTTTATCCATCATTTCGATATTGAAGATTCAATGTGTACATTTTGTGCCTTTCACCCAACAATTTTTGCAGTCGGAGGTATGAGTGATTGGCATAACACACATATATACACAGAGAGCGAGAAACAAGAGAAAAAAAAATGAAATAAAAATGTAAAAAGAAACCATGGAGATCACGAGAGAGAGAAAGAGAAAAAAAAAATGAAAATACATCGGTGGAAAGCATAAAAAAACGAGCACTTCATCGCTTACGGTAACTCGCAGGCAAATGCTGAATATTTACGGCGTAGACACTGTGTATATGTGTGTGAGTGTATGTTTGCGAAAAAATAGCGATGACAGCACAATTCACGAAGGGAGGACGAAATTATGGAGGCTACAAAGGAATAAGAATATCCATCGGGGCAAAAAAAAAACAACTACGAGCACACAAAGAAGAAGAAGGAGGAAAAGAAGAAAAAAACGAAGAAATTGAGCAATTTACCTTAATCGCGCCAATAGCTGCCTGCTTCGATGAGAACGTTACGAATGCACATCCTTTACTTTGTGCATTTTGATCACGTAAGACCGTGCATTCTTCAATCGGGCCATGTTTCTCGAACAATTTGCGCACATCGGCCTCGTTCAATTTTTTATTCAGCATACCAACGAACAGCTTACGCTCTATAGAAACATGCGGGATGGAGAGAAAAAAAAAGGGAGAGAGAGAAAATATTAGAGACATTCAATACTTCGATTACAAACGCACCCGCAACACCCGAAGATGAAACGAGATAAATAAGAGCATCGTAAGACGTTACACATTCAAACATACAAATTAAATAAAACGAGAGTGGGGAATTTTGTGTGTGAGTGAGACGAAGCGAAAAATTTATTGTAAACCAATCCAAAAAAAAACGAATTCAGACGCCGAAAATAAAACTAATGACAAAAATTGACATCAAATCATCTCTGTTATGGTGCACGAGGCAAAAATGATGATGACGACTTGATGATGAGAGTGGGGAAAAATGCAAAAATAAAATGAACCGAGTCATTGGATGCTTCTGTTGCGGCTGCTGCTACCACTGCCGCTGTTGTTATTGTGTGTATTCTTTTATATATGTATCGAAAATACTTAAAAACGAAATAAAATCGAACAATGCAGACGAGTGGGTGGGTTGGTTTGATACCATGGGTTCATCAATTTTGTCAATATTTCATATCATTTCGTTTCGGATTTTTTTTTCCTTCTCCTACTCGAAAAGTGATCACGAGCTTAGCTTTTCATACATACCGTGCTTCACATATTACATTACTCATATTAATATGCTGTACGTACACCGATTTCTTAAAATGACAGCAAGTCGTTCGTTCGTACACACATACATACATACACATTCACGTTCTCAATATAAAAATGATATAAAAAAGCCGATGTGTGTAAAAAAAGATAAACGGACATAAAAAAAAACCCTCGACCGAGTGAATGGAGAAAAAAAACCAAACAATAGCTTAAAAAGATAGGCACAATGGAACGAGAGAGAAGAGTGAACCTCGCTAGCATTGTTATCCACCGTGAATAATACAATTAAAAAAGAGAGAGAGAGAGAGAGAAAGAAAGAAAAGAAGAATGCTTTGGGTCAGTCGAAGGAATCATGGGAAAGGAAACAAGTCAAATTAATAACAAAACGACAACTCAAGGAAAGAAAAAGTCGGAAGAATGGAGCGAAAGAAGCAGAAAAAAATGTGATAGTTGTGCATTGGGGCTGTACGCTTCGTTCTTTCATCCATTCCCCCGTCCCTCCCATTCTTATAGCGGCCTATATCATATCGTATCGTATCGTATCGTAACTCATAGTATCAATTATTAGTGAAGTCATTTATTACAAAATGTGAAAGCTTCGAAAATTGTAAGTCTTGTAATTGTTGTATCCACTCATTATTATACTTCTGTTCGGTACACAATTTTTTTTTCCGTTGTTTTTCCACTTCTTTTTCATTGTGGTACACAAACACTTGAATTCACATGAAAACAACAGCAACAACAACATGAAGAAGAGTGCGGCGAGTTTGTGTTTGTGTTTTATGCATATGCGAGTGGCATATTTTTGTGTCCTGGCCGAATGAGCCCGTCAAATTGGAGTGGGCACTTTAACATGCAAATGGACTAAAGAATTTTTCCCATGTATAGTGATAAGTTTATAAACAATTTATACTGAACGAACGAACGAATGAACGAACTAACCAAAATCAACCGACCGACCAAACCGAATAAAACGGACGAAGCTCTCTAAACAGATACACTCACACACACACACACATAACACACAATTGCGATACGAACGATGAGTCAAACGCAATCATAGGAAATAAATATCAGATCCGTTTATCCAGCTCCAAAATGGTTGTTCCGTGTTTTAGTTCGCCTCGTTTGCTCGCTCGCAACTGGATTTTCGAATAAAAAGTGATCGATAATCGATATCGATGAATTACAAATACACATATTAGAATAGATGTTTGTTCAATTGTATTATTAACGGTCAATATGTAATTCGTTTTATTTATCTCTAGGGGCTTCTATCACTCACAAAATAGAACGGCAATTTCCACATTGTCCGTATCGAATACATGTATATATATATACAACAATTTATATAATTTGGTGGATCTCTCCAGTGCACCTCATGAATTGGCCATTCCAAGCTAATATTTGTGGATTAGTTGTCATATTTGTGAAAATGTATGCTTTTGCAGCAATTTTTTTTCATCGCTGCTGGTGCTACTGTGCTGATGTTGTTGTTATTGGTGTAAATCAAATATAGATTCTGACAAATGAACTGAGATCAAGCAACAAAAAAAAACAACAAAACACACACACACACACCAACACCGACACAACAAACAATTTGCCAGGCCGACATTTTGCTCGTTTTGCAAACGATCGGTTTATACTTTTGGGCTGAATCAGTTGGTTGGGTTTTTGTTTTGGTGTACACGGGCCCATATTTTTTTTTTCTCTTCTTGTTTCGAACGTTTAATCCCCTAGATTCTTCCCTTTTACCATCAAGTGCTCTCCTCGATGAAAATTACCAATTTTCATGTGTTGATTTGAATGGACAAACAATGGAAATGGAGAAAGAGAGTCAGAGTCAGAGGCGGCCACTGGATATTTTCTGATATTATGTTGCGTGTACATGAGAACCATATTTTTTTATATTTCATTTTGCTTATGTTTGTTCGTCCTCTATTTACCCAGTGGCCGTCGTTTTTTTTTCTCTCTTGTTGTTGTTGCGTCCGTTGTCTCTTTGTTGTGCTGTGTATACTCCTCTTCTACTTGTCGTTTGTATCAATTTTGTTCCGTCTCTTTCTCTCTTTCCCTCTGCTACGATATTAAAATAGAATTTTCTTGAACAAATATTGATTTTGTGTCAATGATTCG